GTCCCGCGCACCCATTTCGGCACACCCCTCACACGTTTCTTGGCCCCATAGAGAGCTCCACCGAAGGCCCCAGCGGGTGTGCCCGCATGCGTCCCGCATACCCATTTCGGCACACCCCTCGTACGTTTCGTGGCCCCGTAGGGGGCTCCACCGAGAAGATATTCACAATTGCAGTATTCACAATTGCATATGGTTGGGTTCTTCGCCAGGATAATTTGTGGTCCCCCCAGATCGTTGTACATTTCTGCATTTCAGACGTTAATAGTGATGATGAGGTGGAGGCGGCAACGCAGGCTGATGACGAGGAGGACGAGGAACAGGAAGGTATGGAAGCGACCTCGCTTCGAGATTAGCTGCACGGCCCAGCCTCAACAGAAGGGTCCGCGGAGCAGGGGAGGACCCCGGGCTGAGCGCGGCGTCCGCCGTAATCGCGCCATGCCCATGAACGGCATGGAGCCCAGATCCGCGCGCCGTCCCCGCAGGCGACGCAACATGAGCCACGAGACTTACGATGTTCCAATCGACTCTAGCCTGAACCACCAGAAAGAGCTTCGAGCACCGAGAGAGTATCGAAACTGCAGGGTTTTCACGTGTCCAGCTCTGGGAGGCGATACTCGTTCGATATTGTTTAATTTTTTCTGGGTGTTCGAAACAATGTTTGGGATTAGGTCTTGTAGTACGATGGGAGCAACATAACACGAGATCCCTGCCAGCCTCCAGGGGGCCGAGGGCCATCCAGGTGAGCCCAGCGCCTCGCTGGGCTTCGCCGCGCGCAAGGGCGTGGTGTGGCGTGCCAGGCACTAGTCATCGTCATCTTGACGGACGTGGCCCACATCGGCATCTTGATGGACACGGCCAGCAGCAGACAGTCGACCAGGTTCACGACAGGGAGCCACCAGACCCACCACCGGAGCCAGCAGAAGACCAGCGAGTGGCATCAAAAACAGTGCATTCGGCATTAGTTACCGGGGTAAGCGGATGGTTGCCAACGCTTAGACTCGGGACATAGAGGATCGGTCAGTAGAGAAACGCAGGGAACAAGTCTATATCTCTTACCCGGCTAACTTGGGGTCTCAGCCCGATTTCACCAGTGCAGTCGTGAGGGTTTCAAGCGCGCTGCTATTGGACGACGATCAGAGAATGTGCGCTGCAATCGCGTGGAAAAATCGTTCCGACGATTGGGACTTGTAGCGCTCCAACGAGGACCATCGGGTCCGCGACTGCGGCTCCTCTGGAAAGCTTCAGAGGATTTGGCGGGCAGGAGTGCAGAAAAGGTCAACATAGGTAGTAACCCAGGTGTCCCCGACGACAGGCCACGTGGCAGCTCCAACAACACCGAGCCGGAGTAAGGGGCGCAGCCCAGGGAACGGCGGAATGAGGAGACGCAGCTATGGAGGAGACGTGGCACCAGAGGTGTGGGCAGCAGGGCCACTCTGTTCAGGTCCGCGCCCAAGCAGGCAGCGACGCTGACCAGCAGAGAACGACCTCCCTCAAGGCCATGAGTTGCCAGTCTCAAGGGCGGGGAGGACGCGGGTGAAGGAGCACGAGTAGGAGGAAGAGGAGGAGGAGGAGGAGGAGGAGGAGGAATAAACAAAACAAACATCGAGTTACGAGCGCAGGAGGAGGAGGTGGAGGAGGAGGAGGGCAACGGCGACCAGCGCTCCGACGAGGGCCAGTACGGGGACGTCGGCGACCATCCGCCACGACAATATATACAACATGTATACAAAGACACCCTCCGACGAATTTTGCATGGACCTTCAGAAGGGGAGGCGGTGTATATGGTCGCTGGCTCCCAGTGTTGATTTACACACCGCCTCCAGAAACAGTCCATTGGAGGGCACAATACAGTATAGTACAGAAGCCGTGCGCCAGCCCTTGGCATATATTTTTGTGGTGGGGACCAGTTGATTTTCTGGGGGTGCTCCCGACGCCCCCAACGACGCCGCGTTCGACGTCCAGCCTGGCGCCACGATTGACACCTCGTCGACCGGGGCGCACCCCGACGCCTTACCAGCACCCGCGCCTACAGAAGAACGTCGGCTGCAACTTGGAAGCCACCAGAGCAGCACCTGCGCCAGCATCGATGCCAGCAGCACCAGAAGGAGCATCGGCCAGATGGCCAGGACAGGTGCTGAACCAGCAGCAGGGGGAGTACGCGCTATCGGGTCTCATCACGCCGACCATCATTGGAGATATGCACGGGTACTGGACGCTTGCCGCAGGTTGCGAGTCCGCGGACCTCATAAACGACAACGGCGCAAGTTCCAAGGACGGTTCTGGCGATCGCCGTCAGTCCGCCTTTCCCTACCCCCTAGGCCGACGCCCTGCCCGACACCCCACCCCAGCCCGACGCGTTGCGGGATGTCCCTCCCGTACGCCTTGCCAGGCGCCTTACCCGAAGCCCATGGGGCCCTTTGGTTGCATCCCTTGGTCTCCATGGAGGGGTTCGGCGCCGCTTGTGGCAAAGTCGGGCCATCGTGGCGGCCGTGATAGCCTTCCCGGGCAGTCTCGGGCATCTTGGAGAATCTTGGAGAATATTGGAGAGCGCCACGGAGGCGTCGAGTTGCCCGGGGGCCTCTGGAGGTGGGGGACCATGCAGGTAGGTGTGACCAAGGAAGGTGGGCCCTTAGAGACTCAATGTGCCAGGTGGCATCTTTCGTCTGGTAGATTTGCTTTTTGTTTGGCCATTTTGGCACGGTGGCGGACTGTTTGTTCAAGGACTTCGGAGGCTACTTACTTGACTGGCCTGGGCCATCCTGGAGGCCCATCGCAGGCCATCTTGGAGGCTGTCTGGGGCAATATGAGGCTTCCTGTGGAGCGTCTGCTTGCGCCGTGTGGAACGCCGTCTTTCAGCAGGTGTTCGGTTGTGGAACCCTTGTAGAGCGCAACCATCCAGCTTTCTTTCGTCCAGAAGACCGCCAAAGGCCGCGCACGCGCACAAAGTCCTCTCGGGGCGAAGGAGGCTGTCTTGAAGATGTCGGGCACCTCCGCTCTGATGGCACCTGAACTGAGCGTCGTGCGTTTCCTCTTGGATCCGCTCGCTCCACTTGTGCCTCAGACCATGCAGGCCGCTCTGCGGAGCTGGAGGTAGTTCGTGTGCTGAGCGGAGATGTTCCTGTTCATTTTGGGGTAGTCCGCCTGGGGTATTCCAAATCCCTTATTAATCGTCCCCCGGGTCCGTTTTGTACGGCGCCTTTTTGGTAGCCGGGGTGTCCGGTTTATTAGGGCGTTTTCTTTGGATTGGAGCTTGGGGGGTCCGGTTTATCAAGGCGCCCCGTCGAAGAGGGGGGTCCAGAATATTAGGTCGCATTTGGAGGGGGGTCCGGTTCTTTTTGGGGGTCGATTCTTGGAGTATGGGGGCATTGCGAACATTGTTGCGTGCAGCTGTCTTCGGCCCCACCGACTGACGCCTCACGTGGCCCCGCTGGCGCTTCGAGGCGCCCGGAGAAGCAGCGAGTGCACACAGCCAACGCGCGCAGACAGGGAACAATTCGGGCTCGGGACGATTTCGCCATTCCCAAGGTCCTTCCGTGGCTGTTCCTGAGGCGCTCCTCGTGGACCAGGGCGCTCTTGGGGCCAACGAGGGGTTTCGTTTCTTGTTCAGCGTTCCCGGTGGTCGTAACTAGCTTGCTCAGGAGTCGGTTGGCTTCCCTCCCGTTTACACCCCTGCCCTTCCTTCACTCCGAACTTTCGTCAACGTGCGTTTGAGTTTGATCGGTACTTCTCGGTCAGAGGAGCACGGGCTACAGATGTAGAACGCCGTCGAGATGTCAGACGTTCTTTCAGGGCGGGGGTGAAACATGTGGCCAGGTTCATCGGACAGTGTTGGAACCCGGACAATGAAAATAGTTAGCCATGTTATCGGTGCCTTGTCGACCCGAGGGCAAAATTCGTAGGCACGCGTTTCCATGATGGCGAGGGTGATTTCTCAGTTCGGTGGGCCAGTTCGGGCTTTGAGAGCCTCGGGATGACCCCGCGACGTTTGTTCCTCGCCCCTGTTTCGCCATATCTATACGACCACCCTTTGGGTGTGGGTGGGGGGACGTTCAGCTTTCGGTGGGCGATTGGGGTCGGACCGGATTCGGCGGAAACCAGTTCGGCGCCATAGATCACCTGCTTGGCCATCTACTTATAATATCTTTCCCCATCTACCTTCGATCTCATTATCGGTCTTCTTCTATCTATCGATTTCACTGTTTTCCTATCTCACTATCGAGCTCACCAACGATGTGCCTATCGAACTCACTATCGATTTCACAATCGACCTGCGGTGACACCACGGGACACCGCGCCATGGGACACCACTGGACACCGTCGGAACACCATCGGGACACCGCGGGACGCCACGGGACACCACGGGACAACACGGGGACACCACGGCGGGACACCCCCGGCAACCGCCGGACAACCCAGTGGGGGGCGGTGTTTTGGCCCGGCGGTGCCCTCGCCAGAGGAGGGGGTCATTCCTCTCGCCCGCCCACGCTGCTTCGCCTCGCCCGCACGCGCGTCACGAAACCGAAACCGACTTCCAGGTCAGGGGGATCTCCGCTTCAATTCGATCTCAACCTCCAGCCTCCGATTGTCAAGCCCGTCATCGGCGCGGTCTTCGTCATTCGATGACGCGTTTGCAACGTGTCAGACGGTAGAGTCAGAGCATCATTATGTCCTTGTTGCTCTTGCTGCTTCTCTCTCCTTTGGAGTAGGAGCGCTTTCATTGCCCGAGTCCAAGTCCTTTTGTTTCCTCCACTCTCCTCTTCATTCCTCCTCCTCCCCGCTCTTTCCTGCCCCCCCTCCACCCCATCTCGTCTTCCCCGCCCTCCGCCTCCGCACTCAGCTCCATCTCCTCTTGTGTTTCCGCTCCCCTTCCCCCCCACTTGCTCTCTTTGCCTGCATTGCCTCCCTCCTTCGCCCGCCCTTCCCCACGCCTCCCCTCCTCGCCCGCTCCTCCCCTTCTCCCTGACCCCCCTCCTCCCCTCGCACCGCCCGCCCGCCTCGAGGAGCAGGACGCCAAGCTGGTGGCCCCGCCTCCCGCGCCAGAGTGGGGGCGAGGGAGGGATCGAGAGCGGGAGGGGAAGAGGAGGAGGATCAGGAAGAGGAGGAGGAGGAGGAGGATGGGGACTCCTCCTCCCCCACTCCTCCTCCTCCTGCTCCTCCTGCTCCTTCTCCTCCTCCTCCTTCTCCTCAACCTCCTCCTCCTCCTGCTCCTCCTCCTCCTCCTTCTCTTGTTTTAGGTGCGCCTCATCCTCCTACCCCTCGTCCTTCTCATCATCATCATCATCATCATCATCATCATCATCATCATCACCACCACCACCACCACCACCACCATCATCATCATCATCATCATCATCATCATCATCATCATCATCATCATCATCATCATCATCATCATCATCATCATCATCATCATCATCATCATCATCATCATCATCATCATCATCATCATCATCATCATCTCTTATGTCCTCCTCCTCTTCCTACTACATTTCCTTGTTTTATGTGCTCCTCACCCTCAGCATCATCAGCATCAGCATGATCATCATCATCATCAGCATCATCATCAGCAGCAGCATAAACATCATCAGCATCATCATCATCGTCGTCATCACCATCATGTAAGCATCATCTTCAGCATCAGCATCATCTCTTATGTCCTCCTCGTCCTACCGCTCGCCCTCTCGTGAACAAGGGCTTGGCCCATCGACTCTCGATCTCTTCGGCGCGCCTCCCCGGTGGCGCAAGTGTCGTAAGTGTGAGCCGCCCTGGGTCTTCTGTTCACGGGCCGTTGGCCTTCTTCTTCTGGGTTGCCTTGCGATTTTGCCGCCCTGGGGGGATCCTCTCCTTGCCTTTCAGGTTGGTGATAGTATCATCAATGCATGCTCTGCGATCATGGCCGCGCCACTTCGCGCGGTCGTGATACCGCCGGGCGGAGCTCATCGAAGGCTGGTCAGGAGCCTTGAGACGGGGGTCAATGCAAACGGGGGTCAGCCATAGCGGAGGCTTTTGCAGGATCCTGCGAAGACAGGGTTCCACTGACCTGGGCTAGCGCGCAGGATCCTGCAGGATCGTGCAAGGCCTGACTGCCCTGGTTTTTGTTTGACCCGGGTGAGTGCGTCCCCGAGCTGGGGCCGCGTGGTGGACATCGTCTTGTGAGCGCGTCGTCGCTCTGGGCGCCCTCGCCGTGCTCTTACAGGAGCTCGGGTGCTGCGAGAGGTGGCCCATGGCCTGGGTGGTCCATCGTGTGCCGATTGTCCACCACCACTGCCGCAGGCAGGAGAGGGAGGAGGAGGAGGAGGAGGAGGAGGAGGATTCTAGGGATTCTGCCAAGGCGTAGCCTAAATGATACACACGCCGCCCCCTGAGCTCGAAAGCGAAGTAGACGAACCAGACGACGAAGGGCAGGAGCCAGCAGGGAGCTGATGAATATTGCCAGCCGCAGAAGCCGACCCGTACACGACCTTAATAGCAATACCGCAGAAGTTACCAAGCTTGCCCAATATGAACAAAAAAGGTTTGGAACCAATTTGCCGAAACGACTCCACAATGACATAGCCAGTGGCTAAGCAGAAGTGAGTCTGACTCTATGAGGCCCTAGCTGTGCCGACACGGCGACACTGTAGATCATTGGGCTAATTCAAACCGGTTCATGAGCTCGCCTCGCCCACAAACCATTTCGCCCCAGCCGACCAAAGGAAGTACCGCCGACAGCTGAAGTCACATACCTGCATGCTCATCGAGACACTCTGCACGACGAGCGGGGAAAACTGACCATTTGACAATTGATGGGAGTGACAATTACACCCAAGAAACAGCTGAATCGAAGGAAACAGGGGAATACGACTGATGCCGCCAACCTCGAGCACGAACAGTTATGCAGCAAAGCCGTAGCCACGCCCACTCCGTAAACAACCCCTCCTCAAGCGTATTGCCACATCTAAAAAGTGTCGCATGACCCTGTGGTTAACAACCCAGTGGGTATCCCATGGGCACGATAAAATAACTTGTACATCATAGGAAATATACAAGCACGACAAAAACTGCGGTATCAACTGAACTGACTTGAGAACTTGCCAACGACCGGCACGTGCCTAAGCCAGCACCAGCGAGGGCTGACCAATAATACAGGAGCCACTCACCGTGTACCGCCACCGTAGCCATACTCACGGTTTGTCCAGTCTCGCCATCCGAAGGTTGCTGCAAGACGAAGTCCGCGGCAGAACTCGGAGCCCCCCAAGCGCCACGAGAAGGCACTGGACGCGGCTGGAGGCCCATCACCAAGCCAAAAGCTACGGATAAACCGCGAGCCACATGTGAGTGCTTGAGGGGAGGAGGAGGAGGAGGAGGAGGAGGAGAAGGAGGAGGAGGAGGATGAGGAGGAAGAGGAGGAGGAGGAGGTGGAGGAGGGAGGAGGAGGAGGATGAGAAGGAGGAGTCGAGGCCGGGGGATTGTGGAGTACGTCGTCGTTTTCATACGGTTGTTATCGAGTGGAACGCTCCTTCATCATTACATTGTGATAATGTGTATTGCAATTTGATTTTCACCGTGGCCTCATCATGATATGCGTCTCTCGTTGTATCATTATCTCGCGTTCTGTCTCTATCTCTTTATCTCTCTCCTTTAACCGTTGCTGAAGCTGTACAGTTGTTCTGTCAATCCATTGCCAACCAATGCCAATGCCAATGCAATGTGAATTGGGGGGTCCTTTCGCTCGGTGGATCTTAATAGGAATCCTTTGTGGACGGTGTCACTACGAATTCTTCTTCGGAGGATTTCAATAGGAATGCCTCTGTGAAGGGGTGCCGATAGGGATCCTCTTGTGGAGTGTTTCGCTAGGGATCCTTCTTGTGGGGGGGTCAGTAGGAGTCCTTCTGCGGAGGGAGCCATCAGGACTCGCCAGCGCAATGCCAACGCAATGCCGAAGCAGTGCCATCGCAATGCCAAGCCAATGCCAAGGCGGTTCCAATCCAATGCCAATGCAATGCCAACGGGGGGGGGGCTTTTTTGTGGTAGATATTAAAAGGAACCCTATTTCTGGAGGGTTTCAATAGGAATCGTTGTGCGAAGGGAGGCACACGGACTCGCTAGCGCAATGGCAGCGCAATTCCGAGGCAGTGCCCAATCCAAAGCCAATGCCAATTGTGGATTTCAATCAGAATCCTTTGTGGTAGTGTTCAGTAGCAATCCTTCTAAGAACCCCTCTGTAGACGATGTCGCCCATGAAGGAATCCTAAGGAGCATTCTTCGGATAAGTTCAATAGGCATCCCTCTGTAGAGGGGTTCGCATGGAACCCTTTTGTGGAAGATTGCAATGTGAACCCTTATTTTAGAGAGGTCCGTAGGCATCGTTCTTGTGGACGCATTCCATCGGAATCTTCATGTGGAGCGTTTGATTGGGACTCGCCAGCGCAATGCCAACGCACTGCCATCGCAATGCCAACGCAATACCAATGCGATGCCACCCCGTTACCAAACCAATGCCAATGCAATGCCGATGGCGTGCTTCCAGTCTTTCAACAGATTCCAACCGAAATCCTTATGTGGACGATTTGATTACGGATCCTTCTTCGGAGGATGTCGATAGGAATCTTCTTGTGGGGGAGCCCTTTCGCTCGGTGGATTTCAATCTTTCATCACGACTCCTTCTTCGGAGGATTTCAATAGGAATGCCTCTGTTGAAGTTCGATCGGGATCTTCCTGTGGAGGGTTTCAATCGGAATCCTTCTTGTGGTGGGGTCAGTAGGAGTCCTTCTGCGGAGGGAGCCATCAGGACTCGCCAGCGCAATGCCAACGCAATGCCGAAGCAGTGCCATCGCAATGCCAAACCAATGCCAAGGCGGTCCCAATCCAATGCCAATGCAATGCCAAGGGGGGTGAGCCCTTTGTTGTGCCAAGGCAGTCCCAATCCAATGCCAATGGCGTGCCAATGGGGGGAACCTTTGTTGTATATTCCAAAAGGGATCTTGCATGCGGAGGGTTTCAACAATAATCGTTCTGCGAAGCGGGGGCATTAGGACTCGCCGGCGGAATGCCAACGCAGTGCCAACGGAATTCCAAACCAACGCAACGGCGATTCAAACTTAATGCCAACGCGACGCCAATGGGGTGGATTGCTTGTGGTAGTGTTCAATAGCAATCCTTCTAAGAACCCCTCTGTGGATGATGCCATCCATAAGGAAACCCTTCTAAGGAGCATTTTTCGAAGGAGTTCAATAGGCATCCTTCTGTGGAGGGGTTCACATGGAACCCTTTTGTGGAGGATTGCAATGTAAACCCTTCCTTCAGGGAGGTCCGTAGGCATCGTTCTTGTGGACGCATTCCATCGGAATCTTCATGTGGAGCGTTTGATTGGGACACGCCAGCGCAATGCCAACGCACTGCCATCGCAATGCCAACGCAATACCAATGCGATGCCACACCGTTACCAAACCAATGCCAATGCAATGCCGATGGCGTGCTTCCAGTCTTTCAACAGATCCCAACCGAAATCCTTACGTGGACGATTTGGTTACGGATCCTTCTTCGGAGGATGTCGATTGGAATCTTCTTATGGAGGGTTTCGGCAGGAATCCCTTTGTGGAGGGTCAGACCATGAACCCTTCATGTGGGGGCTTTCAAAAGGAACCCATCGTGTGGAAGGTTTCAATCGGAATCCTTCCATGGTGGGATCCACCAGAAATCGCCAGCGCAACGCCAAAGCAGTGCCAACGCAATGCCAAATCAATGCCATGGCAACCCCGATTCAATCCCACTGCAATGCCTGGGGGGAATCGCTTGTGGCCGGTTTCAATAGGATTCCTTATATGGAGGGGTTCGAATGGGTTCAATCTGAACCATTTTTGTGGATTGTTTCCATCGGAACATTTCTTGTGTGGGGTTCAAGAGGAATTGAGGAGGAGGATGAGGTCGAGGAGCGCGTGGGCGAGGATGAGGTCGAGGAGCGCGTGGAAGGCAATGGGGGCGGAGGAGGAGGAGAAGGAGGAGGAGGAGGAGGAGGAGGATGGAGAGGAGGAGGGAGAGGAATCTCCTCTGACCCCCTTACATATAATCGCGGATCGATCACGTTTTTTTTGGGGGGGGGGCAGGAGGATGAAAAGCCCGATTTTGGCGAAAAGAGGAGGAGGACGAGGGCGGGTGCGAGAGAGTAAGGAGGAGGCGTTCGCCTTCCACCGCCGCCCCCCCCCCGAAGAAAAAACATGTTTAACACATCGGGGTCGCTCCGTTTTTTTTTTGTTTGGGGGTGGGGTCAGGAAAAATAAAACGAACACGATTCTGAGGAAAGGAGGAGGAGCAGGAAGAGGAGGAGGATAATGACAAGGATAAGGAGGAGGAGGAGGAGGAGGAGGTTGATGAGAAGGAGGAAAGAGGAGAAGAAGGAAGAGGAGGAGTAGGAGGAACAGGGGATGGAGAAACGGGAAAACACCCTCCGAGAGATGAGGTACTCCACAATCCCCCGTTCTCGAGGAGGAGGAGGATGGAGCAGGAGGAGGAGGAGGAGGAGGAGGAGGCAGAGGAGGAGGCGGAGGCGGAGGCGGAGGAGGAGGCGGAAGGCGGAGGAGGAGGAGGAAGAGGAAGAGGACGAATAATAATAATAATAATAAGGAAAATAAGACAAATAATAGTAATAATAATAAGACTAATACTAATACAAGAATAAGAATGATTATATGACTACTAAGAATAATACTTATACTACTACGAATAATGATAAGCAGCCGAGGAGGAGGAGGAGGAGGAAGAGGAGGCGGAGGAGGCCGAGGAGAAAGAGGAAGAGGAGGAGGGGGGGAAGAGGAGGAGGAGGAGAGGAGGACCTCCCCTATCCTCCCTTCTCCGCCGTCCTGCCGATGGTAGTGGTGGTGGGACGTCGGCTCATCACTCTAGGGAGGCCCGCACGGCCACTGGAGTCGGGGGGGCGTCAGTGGACCTCACCCATCCTGCTCTATCAGGATGTCACGGATCTCGTCGTCCAGCCAGAGAGGCCCAGTTGGCTTGCACACAGCACCCCTCTCAGGGTCCAGAGGGCCCCGGGGCCTGGCACACCGCGCGACGGGGGGCACCTCGGCCCCCCAAGGACACCTCCGATAGATACATCGGGGGCCGTCCCTGAGTAACGCCATCTGGCGCTCGCCTCGCCCTCCTTCTGGGTCCTCGTCTGGGTCGTCGGCACAAGCGGCCCCTCGAGGGCCCAATGACGTCGAAGTCGTCGTCCTCCCCCTCCTCCTCCTCCTCCTCCTCCTCCTCCTCCTCCTCCTCCTCCTCCTCCTCCTCCTCCTCCTTCTCCCTCCTCCTCCCTCCCCAGTCCTCCTCCCAGTCCTCCTCCCAGTCCTCCTCCCAGTCCTCCTCCTCCTCCTCCTCCTCCTCCTCCTCCTCCTCCTCCTCCTTCTCCCAGGGGGAACTGTCTTCGGGCCAAGCCCCGCCGTCAGGTCCGAGCCACACGGGGGCTGCTCGCAGCGCCCTGGGCCCGTGCAGGGGGTTTAGAGGGGTTGGGGGGTTGGGGGGGCCGACCGCAAACAGGCTTTGAGGGCCGAAGCGCCGGAGGCTCTCGGAGCAGAAAAACAGACCCCCGGTCTAGGCCGAGGTCCGTCGGCTCCGGCAAAAGCTGGAGCCGTCCGGAAAAAAAACACAAAGCAATGTTTTGTGGGTTTTTCCATGGAGGGAGCATCGCTCGGGGGGGGGCTCTTTCCACTCCCTCTGAGCATCGGCCGGGGGCGTTGCTCAGGGGGGGGTTCGCCGCATTGCCCGGGGGGGGTGCTCTTTCCTTTCCCTCTGAGCATCGGCCAGGGGCGTTGCTCAGGGGGCGGGGGGAGTTCCGGGTCGAGGGTCCTGCACGGGCCCGCCTCGCCCCCGCGGCCGCGGGCGTCTGCGCTGGCTTCGAGGGGCGGGGGGCTCTCGTCCCCCCTTGCGTGCGGCGTCGAGGCGGGCTGGTCGCTGGTGGGCAGCTGAGGGCGGCCAGGCAGTCGGGCCTGTCCCTTTACAGGAGGAGTGTTCAGAAATAGTAAAAAAAGGCATGGGACGATATTTGTTGATTCTTATGTTGTCCATTTTTGGAGCATGTTTGGGGTATTTTTACTGTGTCGTCTAAAATCCCCTTGTATGGGGGACATGCCCGACTTAACCTTCGCTGGATCCTCCTCGACATCCTGGTCCGAGTGCGCTTGGGGAGAGGCCCAGGGGACGACCCGTCGGGGGAGGTGGCGGGGGCGACCACGGCAGGCGCGAGAGTCCAGGGAACGCAGACGTGGATCCGGGCGCGCAGATGAGCGGCGGGTCGCGCGTCTGTACAGCATCGGCGCGCTCCGTCACCCAATCAGGCGGCAGCGGCCCCATGTGTCGGGGGGGGGGACCTTCCCCAGTCGGCGGACCTGGCGCCCGCGCGCCAGATCCACGGACCCCTATAGTCCATGTTGGCGTGTCCCCGATCTTCTTCGTCCGTCTGCTAATCGACGTGCCAGCCCATACGCCAAGACGCCAAGAGAAGGGCCACGTAGTGCTCAGGAGGGGCTGTGGCTGTCTTGCCGTTCTCCGGAGATGGGTCGCGGGACGCGTTCTTTGCCGAGGCCCGCCGTGGATCTGTAATCCACGTTGGCGCGCACCCGAGAGAGGGGGGACGAGACGGAGCGGGCGGACGAGGACGAGATTGATGAGGTCGTACAACGGATGCGCCATTGAGCCGTTCGTTGTTTTGTTTGCTGATTGCATTCAGGGGTTCCCAGATGGGGTCTGAGTAGATGGGGTCGGAGAATCGCACCGCATCGCCGATGCATCGGCGATGTGGCAGCTCGATGCGGAGTCCGATGCTCTCCACACCGACGGCGCCGATGCGCATCGGCGATTGCAGTGCGATCCTCCGACCCCATCTACTCAGACCCCATCCGGGAGGTCTCTATGTCTGCAGCAGGCGAGGGGGTGAGGCCGCAGTGAAACGGCGGCCCCCCACCAGGAAATTCGGCATTCGGTTTCGTGCCCGTGCTGTGCGCGCGAGCGAGGCGAAGCCGCGCGGGGTTGGCGAGAGGCATGCGCCCCTCCTCTGGCCAGGTCGCTGCCTGGCCAAAAGACCCCGACGCCCCCGGGGTGCGCGGCGGTGGCCCGGGCTGGCCCGCCGTTGTGTTCCGCTGGGGTCGCGTGGTGCCCCTGTGGTGTCCCGCCGGTGTCTCACGGTGAGGTCGATGGCAGGATCGATAGTGGTGCCGATGGTGTGATCGATGGTGAGATCGATAGTGACGATCGATCGTGATATCGTTTGTGAGATCGGTCGTGGGATCGGTATTGATATCGGTAGTGGGATCGATAGTGAGATCGATCGTGAGATCGATGGTGCGATCGATCGTGAGACCGATCGTGAGATCGATCGTGAGAGGGATACTGCGATCGATCGTGAGGTCGATAGCGCTATCGGTTGTACAGTTCGAGCGTGACATTGATAGTACTATCGATCGAGTGATATCGATAGCGAGATCGATAGTGAAGCCGAGAGTGAGATCGAACGAGGGAGCCACAGTCAGATCGACTGTGAGATCGATACTGATATGGACACGTAGTGAGATCGATCGTCATATCCAGAGTGAGGTCGATAGGAACATCTATACACACGTATATACATATATGTATATATATATATACATAGACCGACTGTGAGATCGATAGTGAGATCGATGGAGTGAGACGTTGGTTCTCCTCCCCCCAGAAGCTCCTGATCACCCGAATTGTGCTTGAATCAGTAGTATTGTGTAGTGCTGCCTTGCTGGTGGTGCAACTTGTCCGACTCCTTTTCCCATAATTTCCTTATGTTCCATTTGTTTAGTGCTTTCGCGTGCCACAGTCTGCCGAATTCCTCGTTGCCGTATCTCCTGAGTTGTCTCTCATTCTTCTTTATCCCCCCTCCCTTGCCGTCCGTCCTCATCAAGGGCCTCCCTTCTCACTCCCCGAGCGTCTTTATCTTCGCATTTCCGCGAGCCCGCCTCCTTCCCCGAGCGACCCCCCAGCCCAGGTGTACCACTGTGGGCTCACGCCCAGCAAGCTGCCCTGCTTGGTCGAAAACAATCCCACGATCGCCATCGAGGTGCGGGAGGGGACCAGGCGGCGCGGGTCGAGGCCGGTGGTGGTCGGGTCCTGAGCGGGTTTGCTTTCGGGGTTGCCTCAGCAGGCATGGCGCTTCACCCTGTCCTGAATGCCTGGGGGCCCTTGGGAGAGGACGACGAGAGAGTGGCTACAGATGCGCATGCGGGGGGGGGGTCACGCGAGCGGGATGGGCGAGGCGCGCGCGCAAGCGAAGGGGTAGGAGAGGTACTCTCAGGGAAGGGGCAGAGCGGAAGCCGGCGCGGGACCAGGAGCCGGCGGAGAGTGCGCATGCAAAGTAAGAGAAGGGGGGGGCGTCCTGCTCCCCCTCCTCTCCCTCCCCCTCGCCCCCTCCCCCCCCTCCCCCCTCCCCCTCCTCCTCCTCCTCCTCCTCTCCTCCTCCTCCTCCTCCTCCTCCTCCCAATCCTCCTCCTCCTCCTCCTCCTCCTCCTCCTTCCTCCTCCTCTCCTCCTCCTCCCTCCTCCTCCTCTCCTCCTCCTCCTCCTCCTCCTCCTCCTCCTCCTCCTCTCCTTGGTCACATGGTGGCTAGAGATCTGAAAGCTGCTGGCCTCCACGTGCGTGCTGACGATGTTGTCCGTGACTTAGGCACGGCTACCACGGCTGGGAGGAGGAGGTCTAGTGCTCTTATCAGGAATCGAAGGATGAAGGCGGCTGCAAGGTGCAGGAAGGTTAAGTATCTTGCGAGATTGGTCGAGAAGTCCACCAAGCTCTATAAGCCAGGTGTGATCGCCGATGACACCTGGGGCCATACTGTTGCTGGCCTTTCAGGTGCGCAGGTGCAGAGCGTGCGAGGCCAAGCTGCTGTTTGTTTTGGCCACTGGCATACAGGTGCTTGCACGACTACGATTTTGAGTATGTTGGGCGATGAGCAGGGTGACCATATTTTTAGGCTCCGTCGTGAACAGCTCTCTGGATTTATGTGTCCCTGGAGGACCTTGAATGACCAGGGTAAGCTTCGTGTTTCTCAGCGTTGGAAAGCCCGCTTTGATGAGTTTACGTCCATTCCCAGGAATCAGGTCTGGAGGCGCGTTCGAGGGCCAGTGTCGTCGACGGTTGCCGTCCTGCTCAATCATGGATGGTACCCTGAATCCCCAGCTCACTGGCATGACCATCTTGGAGAGGGTCTTTATACTGATGCCCTTGATTTTCCTGTGTCTCTTCGGCGTGTGCTGCGGGACACCTGACGTGAAACCGTCTGGACCCAGGCTGCCAAACACTATTTTGGTCATGGGACGGCAGCTGGGTTGATTTCGCTGTCCTTAAAAGTGAGCTCTCCAGGCTAAGTAAGGACCTCGACCACGAGGGTCCGGCGTTGCTTTGGAATCTCTGTTCTGCGGGTTTCTGGACCGACCAGAGGCTCCATGATGAAGGGTATGGTACGAGTGCGAATGGTATCTGCCCCAGGTGTGGAGGTGCCCTTGAGACCCCTCGCTACAGGTTTTGCGAATGGCCTGCAAATGCTGCTATCCCCAGCCCCGTCGTTGAGCGTACGGATCATCTGTGTGAGCGGGCTGTACGAAAGGTCGACTGTCCTGCACTTTGGTGCCGCGGGCTTATGCCGCTTGACAGGACGAGTGGCCATCTCCCGATCGCTGTTGAATCCTGTGTCGGGTGGGGATCGTTCGAAGGGCTGCCTGTCCGTGAAGGGGGCGTTTGGGGTATCGACGGATCTGGAGGGCGGCATGCTAAGGATGACAGACTAAGGCGGTGTGGCTGGGCCTGTTGTCGCTCAGGTGTTACTCTAGACTCTCTTGACGGGGGCCTTGGAGGAGCTCTGGGGGGCCGTGACCAAGCCAGCCCACGGGCTGAACTTCTAGCTTTGGTTTACCTCTGCAAGTATACGGTTGGACGTATCCTTGTTTTCTGTGATTATTTTCTTGTGGTTCGAGCCTTTTGGCGTCCTCGGGATTGTCTGGCTAAGTCTGATCTGCTCGACCTGTGGGTTCGTCTGTGGGCTGTCCTGGACGCCAGGGGAGATGGAGATACCGACCTCAGATGGACTAAGAGTCACCCCGCGGGCCCCCAGGCCAGCTCTCTGCGTTTAACGTCGATCGAACGGCTCCTCAAAGGAGCCGCAGACGCCTGTGCGGGGGAAGTGGCTGAGAGAGCAGCCGTTCCCCCAGACCTTGCGGCCATCACTTTTGAGCAGGATAAAGTGGCGCAGTTGGTTGTTCGGAGACTCCTCGCCATCCAGCGTGAAGTTGTTGTGCAGTGCCCGCGCGAGCGCACTCGGCACGCGCGCGTTGGGCATGAGCACGTGCGTGCGCGCATGCATGCCACGTGTGCTCAGATCCGTCTGGAGCGGCTGATGGACCAAGGCTATTCTCCCGTTCCCAGATGGAGTCTCCTCCGTTGTAGTATTTGTGAGCAGCGTTTCTCCTTGAAGGGTCCACTCTCTGCGTTTTGGCCTGGGCCCTGCAGCGATGGGCGTTTCACCCGCTTCCGCGTGGCTCGAGAGGTCGAGGGTCCTGGTGCGGAGGGTCCTGGGTCCGCCCCGAGTGGGGCCGCTGGGCACCCGCTGGCCATCCAGTGCCATGAGACCCATTCTTTGTCCTAGCTGAACGGTGTGTTGTTTTGCACTGTTTGTGGGAGTTTTGCCGTGGTGAATGCACGGAATTTGAAGAAGAAGTGCGGGCCACCGACCCAGAAAGGGTTGGAGACTCTCAGCAGATTGGAGAGGGGGCTCCCGCCAAAGTCGGGCACGGCCTTCCCTCGGTGATGTGGTGCAGGCGGCCAGGCTAGCACCTGGGCGCCGCGCTCTCGCCATAGCGCCATAGTTCCTCCTCCTCCTCCTCCACCTCCCCCTCCTCCTCCCCCTCTCTTGGTCACATGGTGGCTAGAGATCTGAAAGCTGCTGGCCTCCACGTGCGTGCTGACGATGTTGTCCGTGACTTAGGCACGGCTACCACTGTTGGGAGGAGGAGGCCTAGTGCTCTTATCAGGAATCGAAGGAGGAAGGCGGCTGCAAAGTGCAGGAAGGTTAAGTATCTTGCGAGATTGGTCAAGAAGTCCGCCAAGCTCCATAAGCCAGGTGTGATCGCCGATGGCACCTGAGGCCATATTGTTGCTGGCCTTTCAGGTGCGCAGGTGCAGAGCGTGCGAGGCCAAGCTGCTGCTTGTCTTGGCCACTGGCATACAGGTGCTTGCGCGACTACGATTTTGAGTATGTTGGGCGATGAGCAGGGTGACCCTATTTTCAGGCTCCGTCGTGAACAGCTCTCTGGATTTATGTGTCCCTGGAGGACCTTGAATGACCAGGGTAAGCTTCGTGTTTCTCAGCGTTGGAAAGCCCGCTTTGATGAGCTTACGTCCATTCCCAGGAATCAGGTCCGGAGGCGCGTTCGAGGGCCAGTGGCGTCGACGGTCGCCGTCCTGCTCAATCATGGATGGTACCCTGAATCCCCAGCTCACTGGCATGACCATCTTGGAGAGAGTCTTCATACTGATGCCCTTGATGTTCCTGTGTCTCTTCGGCGTGTGCTGCGGGGCACCTGACGTGAAACCGTCTGGACCCAGGCTGCCAAACACTATTGTGGTCATGGGACGGCAACTGGGTTGGATTTCGCTGTCTTCAAAAGTGAGCTCTCCAGGCTTAGTGAGGACGTCGACCACGACGGTCTGGCGTTGCTTTGGAATCTCTGTTCTGCGGGTTCTGGACCGACCAGAGGCTCCATGATGAAGGGTATGTTACGAGTGCGAATGGTATCTGCCCAAGGTGTGGAGGTGCCCTTGAGACCCCTCGCCACAGGTTTTGCGAATGGCTTGCAAATGCTGCCATCCCCGGCCCCGTCGCTGAGCGTACGGATCATCTGTGTGAACGGGCTGTACGAAAAGGTCGACTGTCCTGCATTTTGGTGCCGCGGGCTTATGCCGCTTGACAGGACGAGTGGCCATCTCCCGATCGCTGTTGAATCCTGTGTCGGGTGGGGATCGTTCGAAGGGCTGCCTGTCCGTGAACGGGGCGTTTGGCGTATCGACGGATCTGGAGGGCGGCATGCTAAGGATGACAGACTAAGGCGGTGTGGCTGGGCCTGTTGTCGCTCAGGTGTTACTCTAGACTCTCTTGACGGGGGCCTTGGAGGAGCTCTGGGGGGCCGTGACCAAGCCAGCCCACGGGCTGAACTTCTAGCTTTGGTTTACCTCTGCAAGTATACGGTTGGACGTATCCTGGTTTTCTGTGATTCTCTTCCTGCGGTTCGAGCCTTTCGGCGTCCGCGGGATTGTCTGGCTAAGTCTGATCTGCTCGACCTGTGGGTTCGTCTGTGGGCTGTCCTGGACGCCAGGGGAGATGGAGATATCGACCTCAGATGGACTAAGCGTCACCCCGCGGGCCCCCAGGTCAGCTCTCTGCGTTTAACGTCGATCGAACGGTTCCTCAAAGGAGCCGCAGACGCCTGTGCGGGGGAAGTGGCTGAGAGAGCAGCCGTTCCCCCAGACCTTGCGGCCATCACTTCTGAGCAGGATAAAGTGGCGCAGTTGGTTGTTCGGAGACTCCTCGCCATCCAGCGTGAAGTTGTTGTGCAGTGCCCGCGCGAGCGCACTCGGCGCGCGCGCGCGCGCGCGCGTTGGGCATGAGCACGTGCGTGCGCGCATGCATGCCACGTGTGCTCAGATCCGTCTGGAGCGGCTGATGGACCAAGGCCATTCTCCCGTTCCCAGATGGATTCTCTTCCTTGCAGCGTTTCTCCTTGAAGGGTCCACTCTCTGCGTTTTGGCCTGGGCCCTGCAGCGATGGGCGTTTCGCCCGCTTCCGCGTGGCTCGAGAGGTCGAGGGTCCTGGTGCGGAGAGTCCTGGGTCCGCCCCGGGTGGGGCCGCTGGGCACCCGCTGGCCATCCAGTGCCATGAGACCCATTTCTTGTCCTAGCTGAACGGTGTGTTGTTTTGCACTGTTTGTGGGAGTTCTGCCGTGGTGAATGCACGGGATTTGCAGAAGAAGTGCGAGCCACCGACCCAGAAAGGGTTGGAGACTCAGCAGATTGGAG